TATACACATTTACTGAAGGCCTGCTGTATACAGGCACAGGAGAGCCTGCCCACCAGGTGCCTAGGGTATAGAAGGGAGATGTGCTAAATGCTGAGAAGGATGCACTGCTCTTGGAGTTAAGCTGCACTGCAGGCCGCTGTTAAACCTCTCTGGAATTGCTTTCGTTATCATTACACAGGAGAGGTTAAATGAAACCTTAGGACTTCTTTCAGACTTGTGATTGGTTTTTGTGGCTAGCTCTTCCTCAAAGGTTGAGAACATACTGTTTATCAGAACACATGCATCCTTAGCTAGACATGGTGGCACATGCCTGTAGTCCCACTTGCTCAGGAGGCTGAGGAGGAAGGATTGCTAGAGACCAGCCTGGTTAACAAAGGAGAGCTGTCACTTAAAAAAAAAAAAAAGCTCTACATGCACTCTCCAAGCGGGGTCTCCAGACCCCAAAAGAGGTATTCCAAAAGTATGGGATAGATAGAAAAGAAAAATAGCTCAGAGCAATGTGAGTGAGCCATGTGAGGTATGCAGAATTTATCAGGCCCAGAGAGTCATTAACATGGAACTAAAGTTATGCCCTGCCATGCCCAGGGCCAGTTCTTTAAAGGCATTTTGTTTCTGCCCAGCTGCCTCACCCAATATTTTTTTCCTGGAATTTTTGATAAAAAACAAAAAAAAAAAAAACAATATATAGCCAGTCAGTAGCTTATGTCATTTTAATGTAAATTCTTGATAACTTAGAAACTGCCTCTTCCTTTAGAAATCCCCTTGTCACTGCTGCTGTTGGGATCACATATTCAGGGCAACTTGAGTCAATCTTCCTGGGTTGCAGTTCTCAAACTTGGCATGAATAAATTCTGCCAATCCTGTTTTTACTTACTATGTAATAAGACTTCACTGTTTTCAAAATAAAGTGTACATTTTGTTGTCTTCCTGACATAAGTTAATTTTCTTCATAAACTTTAAAATATTGCTTAAAATTTAAGATTCCATCCACTGGAATCCCTGAAAGTTATGGACTTAAATATTGACTTTTTTTTTTTTCCTTTCTCTTGCAGCTGTTTGGGGCAACTTCGTTAATATGAGGTAATTATTTTTAATTACTTGTGTATTGTGGTTGGGTTTTATAAACACATTTTAGTTGGTACATATATACCACGGATGTCATGGGTTAATTGAAAAATATTTTAAACACAAAACCAGTTTCTTGCTAATCACATATCTGGGCTATTTCTTTTCTCCTATGGGTATTCTCAAGGAATGCAGCCAATTTTAACAGTTACCAAGTAAAGCCCACAAGTAAAGCCATGGTCAGCCACTCTTTCCTTCCCTCATTGTGTAGATAATAGAGGGTTGACCCTAGCTTATGTACATTGCTTTTCTGGGTGGCTTGAGCAAGAACACTGGGGGGCTTTTGCAAAGCCTTTTGAGAAGGGAGCTGTCTTAGGGCAGCCATGGCTGGCCCGTGACCCCAGAGGGACCAGCTAGTGGATGTGGATGCTGAGAACACCTATTTAGTCCAGGGTTAAGCCTATATGCATCATATGTGCTTCTTCCTAGGGCAGGAGGATCTCTTGTAAAAATAAAACCCTTGTGTTATCTCTTTACCAAATTATAAAAATAGTCTTTAAAAATCGGCGAAAAGAAATAAGCATTTATTGTAAAAACAAATTTGGCGCTGTTAATAGTTTTCCATTTAAAGGAAAATCTGCTCCACTTTTTGTTATGTTGTGAGAATTGCTATTGTAATGATTAGGTTGGTTTTGGAATGTAATGAGGCTGCACATGTCTCCTAGGGTAAAAGGTTACTGTGACCTCAGGAGGCTTTTCATGTGGAGCTGTGTTTTGCAAGGTGGGTGGGATGATGTTAATCCGATTCCTACCACCAGGGCATGTGTGTGTCTACTGACAAAGGCTGCTGTGTGTGACTAGGTGGGGTGCTCAGATCCCATTTAAAGGAACTCTGTGGTTTTACTTAAAAGACTCCATTTTGTATTAAATCCCCAGGAAAGCCCAGCAGGCAAACCTGTACTCCTATAGACACACTTCCTGCTTCTAATTTAAAATCCTGTATTGGGTGTAGCATGGCAGTGAGATTATTTTGGTTTAGTGGAAATAATTCATTCGGTAATACTGAGCATGTTCATAGATGGATTTAAGGGGATTCTCTCCCTTGGTTGTCTTCTTTTCCTCTGGTGCATCCCTTCTGGAGGGAATGGCACATGTGACTGATACTTGAGCAGGAGATAGAGGTGGTCTGCAGCCTTCAAGGTTGTGTTACGGTTGTTGATTCAGAAACAGTCTTGAAGTCAAAAAGCCTTTCAGTTCATCTCAGTTTATAGTTTTCTACTCAACAGGTCTATCCAGGAAAACGGCGAACTAAAAATTGAAAGCAAGATTGAAGAGGTTAGTCTCCTTTCCATTTTTGTATCTATTTAGTCTGTATACTTGTCAATTTCACATCCTTTGCTCATGCTATCATCCTTATTGTGGCAGCTTGATGCTGTTCTGTGATTTGAAACCATCTCCCTTGTTATTTAAGAGGACATGCAATCTGTTACTGTTGGTCCATTTTTGACCAAATAAAACAAGTTTTACCTTAGAGACAAAATGGATTTAGACTTTTACATGACTTTTCAGGTAAGCCTTTTTTAGAGAAAGGGAAGTGATTATCTTTGGGAGATAGAAACGAGTACCAACATCCTCTCACTAGCACAGATGCCGAAAAGAAAAATGGCCCCCAATCAGATGCTTGGCCACAAATGTAAAGAGCGTCCGTGTGCACAGATGGGGACGTTGCACTGCCACCCAGCTGAAGACTAGCACCTGTGCTGGGTTATACACCTCCTATTTAAATATATAAAGATACAGCCAGACAGTTGGAACGTGGGCTGTGGGGGAGGGGAGGAGAGGTTACTTTGGATAAGAAGCCAAATGCGGGAGTCCTGGGAAGCCCGTAGGTTGCTTTCTTTCCTCCTGAGCCCACAGTGTCTACAGACTTGGATGTGCGTTGCAGCCTGCAGTTTATGTGCTGCGGCTGATAACATAAATATACACAATAATTACAGAAACAAGATGTTAAGCTTTTGTGGGCTACACTTTGGGGATTCTTCCTAAAAAGAGATGGATAGTGTTGAGCCAGAAACACCTTTTACATTCTTCCTAATAAGATGGGTGAGCAAAAATGTTAATTGTCTCAGAAACTGAGGCATTTATGGAGTAGAGTTCACATGGACAGTTTATCTGCTCAATTCTAGCGTTGTGACTCAAGTGGTACATCTTAATTTCACACCGAAAGTTTATTTGTAGAAGAAATTAAAACCTGTGTTGTATTATGTCATGTTTAAACATCAGAATGGGGTGAAAGGGGTTGAGGCCTGTGTTTTTGCTTTAAAACTAATTTTTGTTATTACTGTTCTAGATTGTTGAACCACTAAGAGAGAAAATCAGAGATTTAGAAAAAAGGTATGTGTACTTTTTGTCATAAGGTCAGTAGTTAAAATAAGTTCGTCTCAAGTGAATAATTAACTCTGACAATTAATTATCTTTCTCCAAATTGCCACCTAAATAAATATCTACATACAAATTTCCCCCACTTTAAGTCTAATACCCACATGGAACATTGGGAGAAGAATCAATCTGGATGTATTAAGATCTTCCTTGTTCAAACTCTGAACATTCAATTTCTGCAAATTTATTATATAGACATTTTGGCCAAGCCTCACACTTTTTTTAACTTCTGCATGTATTGAGCAGTTGGATAGAATTCCAAAACAGGAGGACAATCCGGTGGGCCTAAAACATAGTATCATGTACAAACACCACGAATTAAGGATGTGGAGCCTGTGGTATATCATGTTTAGTCATTAGCTGCTTTTGTCACCAAAGTTCATGAGGAGGTTTCCAGAATTTAGTCCAGGTGAAGTAGCTGGGAGGGAAGGTTTATGTAGTATGATAGAAAGGATTATTTGAATCAGATTCCAGAGTGAACCCCTCCTCACCCTTTGGGACTCCTGAGGCAGCTAGGCCTCAGGCTCTGGGACTTTCTGCTTGCTATGCTGTATACAGAAAACATGGTATAGAGTAGCAGTTGAATCTCTAGAAATTTTAAAAAGAAAAATGACAGCATTTGTTAAAGTTGATGTCACTTTTTTCCCCTTTCTTGGGAAGTTTGGATGATATGTGTCAGCATCGAATGAGCCTTTTATGAAGTCCAGAACAAAAATGAAGAAATGAGCAGTTTTTCTTTGATTTTCATTAAATGATCAAAGGGAAATAAGATTGGAAAAGAGTCATTAAACAAAATGTGTCGTTCACTTTCTTCTTATCCTCAACAGAGCAGTGAACCAAACTGTTAATTTCAAAACTTATCAGAATAAAAGTTGTCAGTAATTTTTAACAGATTCCTTTGGTAATATAAGGTTGTTATTTGTGCCTTAAATTTTTTTTTTTTGCCTTGATTTTGTGTTTCAGCTTGTAATACTTCCTTGGTTGGGAGCCAGAAAATCTGCCTTTGATAAGACAGCAGAATTGAGAGATTTTAATTGAAGACTTTTTTTTTTTTTTTTTAAGAAAAAGTGGAACGATAAGAAATAACCTACCACATATTCTGTATATTGGTACAAAAAAAAAAAGAGAGAGAAAAAAAAACTTGTCCACTAGTGATTATTTTCTTTAGAGAATAATATTCACTTATGAAAAGAAAAATGTCTTAATTAGATAATTTCCCTAAGGCAATAAATAGCTTACAAACAAGAGCTCTCAACATGTGAGAGTTAAGCAATCCCTTTGATACTTTTGTGATTTTATGTGTGTGTGTGTGTGTGTGTGTGTGTGTGTGCACTTTTTTTTTTTTTTTTTTTTACCATGCAACAAAACCTTTATTAAAATATTTTGAACAGCTTCAGCTATTACTGAAACTTGTAATTTCTAAACTTAAGTTGAGGCAAATGGCTATAGTGTAGAGTAATGCCGTCACTGGGCACTGCTAATTCAAGACTGAAGAATTAACAGCCACCCCTCAGATGCAGGACCAGGTGCAGGGTCGACTCTTTCTGGATGTCGTAGTCAGAAAGAGTGCGGCCATCTTCCAGCTGCTTGCCTGTAAAGATGAGCCTCTGGTGGTCGGCGGGGATGCCTTCCTTATCCTGGGATGCCTTCCTTATCTTGGCCTTCACATTTTCGATGGTGTCACTGGGCTCCACCTCCAGGGTGATGGTCTTGCCGGTCAGGGTCTTCACGACAATCTGCATTTTGACCTGTTAGCGGATACGACGATGCTGCGAATCGCCAATCACGTCCAGCCACCGAACTCCGACACACGTTCACCTGACAAAGCCAGTCTCTCCCTAAACTGTGTGTACGCTTTTAAACTGGACAGAGAAGCACAAATAATAATTTAATCCTAAGAATTCACTGAGAATTTATTCTTGTCAACCTGTAAGGCCACCTTGAAAACAGGCGCAGAAGGCAAACATTTGCCTCTTGGGCTGCTTGCTTCCATCCTTCAGGTTGTTCAGCAAGTCAGGTGACCCACATGCCTGCATTACCATGTCAGAAGGTCAAGTGCAGGTCTGGCTAAAAAAGCGTGACGGTGGAAATTGATGGAATTCTGTCTAGCTTTACTTTTGCTGACTAATTGTGTGATAAAGATTATCAAACAACCATCTTGACGCAGACAAGATAAGAATGTAACTGGAAATAGGTTTACTTGATGTGCTTGTCACTTTGAGCAGAGTGGCCCCCAAGAACTAAGTTACAGGTTATATTTATCCAGGGAAAGAAAGAAGGCAGTGTCATTCTAGAAGCCTGAGTAACAGGATTGTATGTGAGCTTTTTCTCTGTTTTACCACACTCTCATTTCTTAATGCTTTATTTGCCATTTGTTTAATTTTAATTCTGTATCTTTAAATGTTCTTTGAACAGATGGCAAATGATGATAATTTATATTCTAAGTAAGAATACTACTTACCGGCTATCTTACTAAACAGTAAAGTTAGTCTGGAATGACATAAAATATTAATAATTAGTAAAGGATTAATTTGGGACTGTAAGAAAACATTTGTTACCTAGTTCATCCCTCATTTTGCCTCTGCTTGCTGGTTTCCCTCTCACTCAGGAACGCAGGCCTCATGCCTCTGCCACATTTTGCTGCTTAACCCCCAGTGCCTAATGTAGAACAGGCATTTAATGCAAAGTTCCTAAATAAGTAGATGAGCCCATACACTGGGTAGGTGTTTCACCTCCCACAGGTCTTTAAGAAGCTTTGTGGGCTGGGCACGGTGTAATACCAGCACTTTGGGAAGCCTCGGCAGGCAGATCGCATGACCCCAGGAGTTCGAGCCCAGCCTGGGCAACGTGATGAAACCTCATCTCTATGAAAAATGTAAGGCTGCAGTGAGCTGTGATCGTGCCACTGCATTCCGTCTGGGGCGACAAGAGTGTGAGACCTTGTTTCAAAGAAAAAAAAAGGACTTGTGCCCCTGCCCAGCCCTGGGTCAGTCCAGCAGGTACTTGGGAATACTGGGCAGCTGGCTCAGCAGGTGGCCCAGACAACAGCATTCACATGGTCACCGGACTCTTATCAGTCACTGTGCTATGTCACACATGACTGCAAGGAGGAAAACAGGACGACTCATACTGAGGAGGACCCCACAGGAACTCACCCCTTCCTGTTACTTTCAGCTTTGCCTCAGAGGAAGAAGTCAGGACTGTGAGATAGTTTTTTAAAAGTTTAATTACTTGAGCGTATACATATGAAAGCTAAAATTTGGCAGCTACATATTGAAGATAAACAAAGCAAGAAACTCAAACTATTTTTCCTTTTTTAAATAAGAGTTTTAGCACACTGCGTTTGAAGTATTTTTTAGTCCGTCTTGCACCCATCACTGTGTGTGTCAGGCAGCCATGCCTTTGCTTCAGTTCAGTTTCTTTGAAGTAGCATTTACTGTAATAAAACAGTTTGCCCTTTTCCTTTCGGTATAAGTAGCACACCACGTTTCATTTTAAGCTTTCAGGCAGGGACTATTCTAAGCTGACAGCTTGGATTAACATTTGTTTCTGTGGCCCTGGATGCACATGCCGAAGTTCTGTGCCTCCGCTCCTCACAGAATTGGTTTCTCTCCCTGCCTCTCGTTTTCCCGTGTGTAGCTGTACTCCCAATCCCCAGCAGTCCTGACTCTAAAATCATATACATGGTAGAGAAAGAGCACCAAAGGTGAGTGATGGAAGTGATGCATCAGAGATGGCACCTGCGTTTTCACGACAGACAATCCGGAGGAGCCATAGTGCTTGTGAGCAGTCATAGGAAGGAAAGAGGGTCACAGCTGTGCCACAGCACTTGGATGTGCCGCTTGGGGATTGAGGCTGAAGACCAGGATATTCTGAATTCAGAGAAATGGGGAAAATTGGAGCGGTGTCAGAGCTGCACACAGATAACTCAGATTTACAATGCAGTCTCCTAGCTGAATTGGTGAGAAGAAACAGAATGACAAGAAGTGTTACTTGGCAAACAAGACATCTGTCCTGTTCCTACCAGTCTAACAGCATCGCAGCTGACTGAAGGCAGAACTTGCCCCTGCTCCGCAGCTGCTTGGATACCATTCCCGAGGCACTTCCTATGGGCGGCAAGTGCTAAAAACAGTCCGTGAGCTCACAAGGGGGAATGCCAGGGTTCCCACCCGTGCCCTCAGACTCTCCCATCTGATTTTGTAGTCTGCAAGGGGAACTTGACCTTTTGAGACTCTGGAAGTTCTTAATAGGGGAATTCGTCTGCATTGTAGTAGAAAGCCCTTTCATGTCAATTTAAGCACCCTTCCAGGCATTTTGGAGATGAGAAACCCCTATTTCAGGGGCTTCTGTCTAATGACCTGTCATATTCTGTTCAGTTGAGTGACCATTAAGGAAGTGCATTCGGTATCCTAGTGCTGTGTCAGTGCTGGGGACAGGATGGGGATAGAGACAGTGCCACCTGGCCCAACACCTCTCCAATTAGTATAACAACCATAAAGCTGATGTCTCAGATTTTATTTAAAGCACTTTTGTTCCTAACTGAATCACTTTAAAAATGAATATTTCAGTTCTCTGTTTATCACCTCTCACTGGACTTTTTATATTCTGATCACACTGCCCGGCTTCTGGGACATTAGTGTGGACTGGGGACCCATGGAACCTTAGAGCAGCAAGAGGCCATCAAAAGATAAGTGAAACTTAAGACAGGGTCAGAACTGACCCACAGAGACAGAAGGTGCTGATGCCCAGTTATTTTACCAGGGACACAGATCAGAAAGAAGATGCTGTGATTGTGAAAATTCTGGGAGCAGGAGATAAAGTTTCATTAATATCTTTTCTCTTCTGGGGTGGTCCTCCCTCCTGGGGCCTGTAACTTCAAAACAGCTCTCTTCCATCTGGGCCCCGTACAGCATCTAGAGAATGCCATGGTTATAGCCTGATGGGTTCTTCTCACCCACTGCCCTGAGAAAACCAAGGCACTGAGAACGGGAAGTGTTAACAGCCAAGAAAGAGTTAAGTCTCAGGGCCAGCCATGTGTGAGAATGGGAGAGGTTTCTCAAATCTTCCTGAGAACTCAAGAATTGTTAGGGGTAGTTTGGTGGGTGGGGGCTGGGAAGCTGAAACAATTGATTGGCTGGGTGTGAAATCACAGGGGTGTCTAAACTGTCTTCTCACAGTTACTGGAAGCAGGGTCTGAGGACCAGGTGACATCTCTTTGTCTGTCTGCCAAATGCTAAATCTGAAAGCTATCTGAAAAGACCATTTCTTTAGGATTCACAGTAGCGATGTCACCTATAGAAGTTGTTGGAGAAGTTATAAGTCTTGCGACCTGTTTTGCGTGACTCTGGGGCAGTAAGCAGCATATAGAAAAGCTCAGCTAAGCGATGCAGGTAATAGTTGAATATACTTATTCTTTAGCAAAGTTCAGTCCCTACCATAACTGTAACCCCAGCTTAGGAGTGTGGCTTCAATCTCGAAACAAGGAGGAGGGTCAGTTTTCCTTGCTTCAACGTTTAACTATAAATTCCTCGCCTAGTTATCTTGGCCTCTGCTCTAAAATAAGCAAAAACAATAAAAACAAAACTTTAGACTGTGAGGTTAGAAGCAAGATGGAGCCAGTCATACTAGGTTTCTCTCATTACTTACAATTCTGCAAAGGCAGTTTCATGGCCATCTTCCTCATGGTATGATTTTACCCGGACTGCTAGAGGTAGTGCCTACCCTGCTTTAGCAGCTGCTGGAGGTCTGTAGCTCCTTAAGCTTTCACTTCTTAGAGACAGAATCTCGAGTCATATCCTTAGCTTGATTCTAAACAAAGAGCAGGCTGGGCGCTATGGCTCACGCCTGTAATCCTAGCACTTTGGGAAGCTGAGGCAGGCAGATCACGAGGTCAGGAGATCGAGACCATCCTGGCCAACATAGTAAAACCACATCTCTATTAAAAAAAATGCAAACAAAAAATTAGCTGGGCGTGGTGGCACACACCTGTAGTCCCAGCTACTCAGGAGGCTGAGTCAGGAGAATTGCTTGAACCCAGGAGGCAGAGATTGCAGTGAGTCAACATCACACCACTGCACTACAGCTGGGCGACAGTGTGAGACTGTCTCAAAAAAAAAAAAAAGAGAAAGAAAAGAAAAAAAAAGGAGCAGGTTAGATAGCACTTGACCTCAAATTAACCTGCAACTCCTTCGTTTCTCCAGCACTCATTCAAGAGTAGAGAGAAGGAGCAAACACTAACAGTCCCAAAACCTATCATATGCTTTGACAGTAAACGGAGAAAATACTCAAATGAAATATTTGACTTTTTCCTTTTGAATTTCTTTGTCTTATTCAGCTTTACTCAGAAATATCCACCAGTGAAGTTTTTATCAGAAAAGGATCGGAAAAGAATTTTGGTAAGTGTGTACACCTGATTAGTATTTGTAATGTTAAGAAACTTTCTTTTTTCATTGAGAGATAATTCACATATCATAAAATTCATGCTTCTCAAGGATACAGTTCAGTGACTTATAGTATGTCCACAGAGTTAGCACCACATTCTGATTCCACAGTATTTTCATCACCCCAAAAAGAAGCCCTGCACCCGTTAGCAGTCACTTTCCATTCCCAGCCCCCTCCCACCAGCTCTGGGAAACCACTAAAACTATTTTCTATCTCTTTGAATCTGCCTTTTTTGAACATTTCATATGAATGAAATGATGTGATATTTGGTCTGTCTTCAAGTCTCAGCTGTAGCATGAATCAGTACTTTTCATTCCTTTCCATGGCTGAACAATAGTCCATTGTATGGATGTGCCACATACTGTTTACCTGTTTCTCAATTGATTGGGTATTTGGAGTTGTTTCTACCTTGAGGCTGTCGTGAATAATGTTGCTATGAATGCATGTGTGTAAGTTCTTGTGTGGACATAGGATTTTCAGTTCTTTTAGGTATACTTAGGGGTGGGATTACTGGATTGTGTGGAAACCCTGTGTTTAACTTTTTGAGGAAGTATGAAACTTTAGAGCAATGGTTTTTAACCTTTTAGACCACTTTGACAAATACCCAGGGGGCTTCCTTGGCTCATAGTGCTCTTGTTAAACATCAGTATAAACTTACCAATGAAAGAAGCCCTTTTAACTATTAGGTAACAAATTATGTCCAAAAAGATTGCTTGTTGTGTTTTTTTTTTTTTTTTAAGTAACAGCTTTATTGAGATATAATTCACATACCATACAATTCACCCTTAAAATTTATAATTCAGTAGTTTTTAAGGTATTCACAGAGTTGTGCAGCCATTACCACATCCAATTTTAGAACCCCCCCAAAGAAGGCCTGTACCCATTAGCAGTCACTCTCTATTTTCCCTAAGGCCTTCCATACCCCAGTCCCTAGGCAACCATTAATCTGTTTTCTGTCCTTGTAGATTTGCCAATTCTGGATATTTTTATAGATGGGATAATGCAGTATTTGTCCTTTTGTGACTAGCTTTTCTTAGAATGTTTCTAGGTTTCATTCATGTTGTAGCTTGTATCAGTATTTCATATATTTTTATTACCAAATAATCTGTTATGTGAATGTACCACATTTTACTTATACAGTAGGCCCTCCACATCTGTGGATTCAACTAACCACAAATTGAGAATGTAGTTAGGCCCACAATAGTTATGTCTGTACTGAACATGTGCAGACTTTTTTCTTGCTATTACTCCCTAAACAATACAGTATAACATTTTTACATAGCATTTGCATTGTATTAGGTATTATAAGTTACCTAGAGATCATTTAAAGTACAGAGGAGGGTGTGTGTAGGTTATATGCAAATACTACACTATTTTATCTGAGAAAATAGCATCCTTGCATTTAGGTATGCGGGGTGGGTTGTGGTCCTGGAAGCAATTCCTTGTGGATGCTGAGGGACAACTGTACGTTTGCTATATGTGTCCTAGGGTGACGCTGTTTCACCTTTTGAGGAACTGCCGTTTGCCAGAGCAGCCGCAGCATTGTGCATTCCACCAGCGGTGTGTGAGAGCTGCAGATTCTCCACATCCTCAACACCACTTCTTACTGTCTTTTTTACTGCAACCTTTCTACTAGGTGTGACATGATATCTTTTGTGGTTTGGAGTTGCCTTTCTCTGGTAGCTCATGGTGTTGAGCATGTTTTTGTGTGCTTATTGGTCATTTCTATTACTTAACCTGTTCTTTAATTGGTTATTTTGCTTTTCATTATTGAGTTCTTTATATATTCTTGATTCAATTTTCGTATCAATTATATTATTTGCAAATATTTTTTCTCGTTCTGTGGGTTGTCTTTTTACTTTCTTGATGGTGTTCTTTGAAGCACAGAAGTTTCAGATCCTGATGAAGTCTGTTTTATTCTCTTTTGCTGCTTGTACTTGGGTGTCATATTTATTAAATAATTGCCTAAACTGAGGACACAAAGGAGCAGGCTGGGCACAGTGGCTCACTCCTATAGTCCCAGCACTTCAGGAGGCTGAGGTGGGCACATGTTTTTTTCCTAAAAGTTTTATAGATTTTGTTCTTAAATTTAGGCCTGTGATTTATTTTGAGCTAATTTTTGAATAGGGTATTAGGTCATCATTCTTTTGCATGTGGCTGTCCAGTTGTCCAGTACAATTTTGTTGAAAAGACTAATTATTGTCCATTGAATTTTCCTGGCACCCTGATTTTGTTGAAAATCAGTTTACCATAAATGTGCAGTCAAGCATCACTTGACACTGGGGATACATTCTGAGAAATGCATTGTTAAGTGATTTTGTTGTTCTGTGAGCATCATAGAGTGGACCTACACAAACCTAAATGGTACAGCCTGCTACACACTTAGGCTACATGATATGATCTATTGCTTTTACCTACAAACCTGTACAGCATGTTGCTATACTGAATACTGTAGGTAGTTACAACAAAGGTAAGTATTTGTGTTCATCTGTATAGGCCACTTACTACAAATGGAGCTTACAAGACTAGAAGTTGATCTAGGTGAGTCATTGAGTAAATGCCTTGTACTTAACTAATTTTGTATTTAGTACCTTTCCCTTCTTTTTCCCTGTGGAATCTAGTATCTAGTTACTATTCTTATTCCCTGTGGAATCCAGTTACTACTTTCAGTCTGAAGAACATCCTTTAGTATTTCTTGTGCAGTAGGTCTGCTAGCAATGAACTCTCTCATTTTTTGTTTAGCTAGGAATGTCTTATTTTTGAAAGTTATTTTTGGTTGTATATAAGATTCTTTGGTTGAATATAAGTCAGTTGTATATTGGCTGCCAGTTTGATTTTACACTTTAAATACGTTGATAGAGTTTGGATATTTGTTCTAGTCTCCTAATCTCATGTTGAAATTTGATCTCCAGTATTGGAGGTGGGGCCTAGTGGGAATCATTTGGGTAATGGGGACAGATCCTCGTGAGTGGCTTGGTGCACACCCCACGGTAATGAATTCACATGAGATCTGATTGTTAAAAAAGAGTATGGGACCCTCTTCTCCTCCCTCTCTTGCCATGTGACATACCTGCTCCCCCTTAGCCTTCTACTATGATTGAAAGCTCTCTGAAGCCCTCACTAGAAGCAGGTGCTGGAGCCATGCTTCATGTACAGCCTGCAGAACCGTGTGTGAAATAAACCTCTTTGCTTTATAAATCACCCTGCTTCAGGCATTCCTTTATGGCAGCGCAAAATGAACTAATACATATGCCATCCACTGCTTTCTCCATTATCTGTTGCAGTGAGCCAGCTGTTAATCATATTGGGGTTCCCTTATATGTGACAAGTCATTTTTCTTTTTCTGCTGTATGAATTTCCTAGGACTGATGTAACAGTTACCACCATCTGAGTGGTTTAAAACAACAGAAATTTAATCCCTTGCAGTTCTAGAAGCTGGAAGTCTGAAATCAAGGTGTCACCAAGGCCATACCCATTCCCCTCTGAAGGCTGAGGGGAATTTTTTCTGTGCTTTTCTTCCAGCTTCTTGTATTGCCTTCATGTTCTTTGGCTAGTAGAGACATCACTCTGGTCTCTGCCTCCAGCAGCACATGGGTCCTTGCATGACTCTATATTGGATTAAGTTTCCACCCTTAGCCAGTATCATCTTATCTTAACTAAATACATCTACAAAGGCTCTATTTTCAAATAAGGTCAGATTCTGAAGCTCTGGGACAGACATAAATTTTGTAGGACCATATTCAACCTAGCATATAGCTGCTTTCAAAATTTTATCTTGTCTTTGGTTTGTGGCATTCCTGGAATGATGTATCTGTGTGCATCTATTTTTGTTTGTGCTCGTCCTACTTGTGGTTCATTGAACTTCTTGAATATGTATATTAATGTTCATCAATTCTGGGGAGTTTTCAGTCATTACTTCTTTGAATATAGTTTGTATTCCTTTCTCTTTTCTTACACGCCCAGTGCAGCATGCATATTGGTGCACTTATTGGTGTCCTGTATTTGTCTGAGACTCTGTTTAGTTTCCTGTATTTTCTTTGATCTTTGGGTTCCATAACCCTTTTCAATCTAAGTTTGCTGATTCTTTAGCCTAGTTCCAATCGACTGTTGAATCCTTCTGTTTAATTTTTAATTTTCTATTATGATATTTTTCAACCCCATAATTTCAACTTGTTTCTATTTTGTAATCTTTCATTATTATCTATGTACTTCTTTAAGCATGCTTTCCTTCGGTTCTTTGAATACTTGCCATTATTTTTAATGGCAAAAACTGCAATGACTTTTGCCAGAACTTACTATTTACAGTGGTTGCTTGGTGTCTTTACTATATCCCACATCTGGGCCTTCACATAGACAGTTTTTGTTGCTTGTTTTGTTTTTTGTTTTTTGTTTTCTGTTTATGGGTCACACATTTCTGTTTCTTTGCATGTCTTGTAATTTATTGTAGAAAACAGGGCATTTTAGGTAGTATATTGTAGCACTTCCGGATATTGTGCCCTCATCCCAACCCCCACCTTCCCCAACTTGTTTTTCTTTTATTTGCTTATTTATTTATTTAGTGACTTGTCTGGTCTATTTTAGTAAAGTGTTTCCTATTCCCTCCCCTGCCACTCCAGCATGAAGCTTTAACTGTTGTTTCTTCTGAGGGATGTAGCCTTGGCCACGCCCCCTCGGATCATGGCGCTTCTAACAGGCTTGTGTTGACAGTCTCTTTAACCCATTTCTCTGTTAAGCCTGTGCAGTATCTCACCCAGCTGTTAGGCTGCAGTGGTTGCTGGCTAATTGCTTTATTTTTTATCAGTGTTGTGGGTTTTAAATTGCTCTTCAGCCTGACCCAGTTAAACTCTGTCCCCTTGGCATAGGCAGATTTTGAGACCTGTCTTTGAGATCTGTTCTGGTGCCAGAAGGTTTCTTAAGTGTCCTCTCCCTGGTTCTCTCTGTTAGACAAGCTGGC